AAAGGACAGCTCAACTGATTGTTTAAGCAGTGAGTGTGAAGGACATAATATAGAAAATAAAATAAATTTTACTTTTCAAACTAAAGGGGCAGAAAACATATAGTACAGCCTGGTACTACAATAATTACCTATATAAATATAATAGTACCGTCTGTTGTATGTCCATGTAACTACATCGCAGGGTGTGGATGAATCTTCATATGGAGGTTCATTAGGTCTATATGGGGGTACATACAAATTTTCAGCTTTGCATTTTGCAATTTTTAATGGGCGTTTTTTACCACTATTTCATCCCCCATAAATGGATTTTCACAAAATTTGGTATGGAGGTTCATTAGGTCCATGGAAGGAAACATACAAATTTTCATATTTGTATTTTGTTTTCTGTGATTTCTGTTGGCGTTATCACATTTTTACCACTACTTTGCCCTCTACTGAAGGATCTTCACCAAATTTGGATGAAGGTTTGTTGGGTCCATGCAGTTTCACATTTTGTGTTTTGCAGTTTTTATGGGCATTTTTTACAATTAAATATAAGGGAAGCAAGTTTTCATTAACATTTCATTAATCACGAATTTACATAACTTTCATCCAGTGGATGGGTAATCCAGCTAGTAATTAATATACTAAAATTTCCTTCACAAATACATCCCTATGACTAAACAAAATTTTACAAATAATCAACTGATCTGTCCTTTACATACCATTCTAACTGAATCATCAACATATTCTCAAAACACATACAGAACACATAGTTATAACTGAACATTTCTTAGTTTTTAATCATTTCCAAATTTTAACTTTCTCTAGAGGTGAGGTAAGTTAACCCTATCGCCACGGGCATCCTATAATGCGCATGTCATGAGGATTTAGTGACTTACATTATAAATTTTATTAAACTACTTTTTATTTATTTTATACCAATTAATATAGCATAAAATCTTAGCTAATAATCTATATTTTAATAGTATATAAGGTTTAAGTTTTTACTTTTATAAGGCAATATTTAATAAATCCTGAATTTCCTCTAGTGTGATGCATTTTCTCTAGGCATCTCCTCTTTTTTATTTTATCCACCACCCCTCCAATAAGTATGAAATTAAATGTAAGTTACTTACTATAAAATCGTCATTGCTCAAACAAACCATGATTTTTATAGCATTCAATTTTGTTTGGTTACAGAGCTGTCAAATAGAAAATCAGACCCCTCTTGTCACACCAACCTGTCACATCCTCTCTTCCAGGATTTGTTAATAGTTCTCTGTTATGTTTAATTCTATATTATCTATAACCAATAGAAAGCCAAGGTTTTCATCAATCAAATGACATTTTATATTACATTGTTTTCTGAAGGAAGAGTTGTCAATTTCACTGAAGGATACGACCAGCTTGGATGAATTTGTAATGGCTCTTGTCGCATAGTTAGAAAACTAGAAAAATTGTGAGAGTTAGGGGAATTTATCTACTTTTTGCATGTTATTAGTCTATATTCTTTAGTGCATAACTACCATTAGTATAAAAAAGTAGGGTTAAGTGTCATTGACAGTCAACAGAAAAAAATTAAGGCCCCAGGTAAGTACTTTATTGCTTGTTTTCATATATATACTCTTAATTTATTATTATAAAAGTAACTAAAATATAAAAATAGGGATCTCTTTGGGTTAGTTAAGGTTAGATTAGATAAATTAAAAAATAATAATACAATAAAAATGTTTCACATGCGAGCAGCACGTGGGTAATGTTATTCAATAGCATAAAGTGAGCTTCTTGTTCTCCTAAGTGATTTACAACTTATAATAGAATGATTAGTAGTTAGACACAGTTCAAAGGGCAATAAAACAATAACATTTAAGTATAAATAGATGTATACTGTTAGGAGTTTAAAAATACTTAGAATAAATGCATGTTGTTTCATGTTACGATTTGAAGTCATTTTAGATAGAAAAAAGGGTAATTTAGATTTGCTTAGACACAACTAAAATTCCTTAAACATACACCATTCTGATTAGCCAATTTAGAACCTCTTTACATCCATAATGTCCAATCAACTGATATTACATCCATTTTTATACACAACTAAAATTCCTTAAACATACACCACTCTGATTAGCCAACTTAGAACCTCTTTACATCCATTATGTCAATAAACTGACATCACATCCATTTTTATACACAATAGAAGTTCCTTAACTCTTTAAACATGTAATTTTTTATGCATTCTGCCATTGATCTGAAATTTGTTTCAAAACAAATCACAATGTTTCATGGAACTTCCAGTTTATCTATAAAAGGTGGATAATAACATGGATTGGATTAGTTTTTAGCCAAAGAGACATAAATGTTGAAGGATGTTGTCACCGTCCAATGGGTAAATCTGGATTTTCAGCTGAATGTTGGCAGTGTCAGCTCGAGTTTAAGGAGTTAAACACACCCCATCATGATTAGCCAATTTACATCCATTATGTACAGTCAACTGATGTTACATCCATTTTTATACACAGTTGAACTTCCTTAAGTACAACCCACTGTGATACCCAACTAAGGACCTCTTTATATCCATCATGTAAAATCAAATGATGTTACAACCATCACTAAGACTACACAAATGAAGTTCATTAACAAAGACACTATTATGATCAACCATCTGATTATCTCATTAACTAACTTATTACAAAGAATAACCAACTAATATTCCTCTCCCTCACAAACACCACTAAGATCTTCTCTTCTAACCCAAATCATCAAAATTACACAACTGATGTACACTCATCATTTCAATAACTAAATAAATCTTCCATTTACACTCGATTATAATTAATTAACATACCTTTTTAATATATGGGAAGAAACAATTCATATAAATATGCTAACACACAAGTCTAAATGAAAACTATTTTTTGCAACGTTTAAGGTAGATGGCCTTCATCAGACAATATATACCTTGTTACAGGGAAGTTAAGCCAGAGTAAAAGTATGGAAAAGTTCTAATTTTAGAGGTGCTGTATAGAACACATTTACAAAAATGCTTCTCGTGAATATAACAAAATTTGCAAGAAAACATAACACATTTTTGACAGGAATTAAAACTTATTAAATGATTATTGGAACTACACAAATCATATTTTATATATAATAAGAATAAACATATAATTAAACATACAACTATATAAGAATAAGTAGCTTGTGACATGTGTTCTCGAGAAGGTAATGCTTTCACTAAGGCATTGTTAAGAGAGAAATTGAACAAAAAAACTATTATTAAGTAATCTCATTCCAAAAAAAAGGTTCAGTTGACAATAAATAGATAAATTATCAAAAGTAAATTTTTTGTTTATTCCCTGACGGAACTTTCTGATTAACTGAAAGATGAGGTGGTGTTAAAGGTTTTATTTCTGAACTTGTTCTGAGGCACATTTTTGATTACAACAACTTGCATGCCAGAAACATGATTAAGGTCTGAAGGGTACCTAGATGTTTGTGAATTGTATCTCCAGTACACAGTCTGTTACACCCTCTGGAATGAAGGAAGTAAGTTATGCATCCTGCCAAGCAAGTTGTAATGCTCTCTAACATAGAAGGTGGAACTAAGGCTAGTTATTGTACTGTTGTTTGTATTATTAGCAAGACAACTGTTCAGTTTTAGCTTAGATTGTACTAAGTGGTCTTTATGACTTCAGTTACATCTAAAAGGGATCAAATAAGATATAGTAAATATGTAAGCTGTTGTAGACTTTGTATTGAGTAAATTATGTTTTTGTGTTGGTTTTTATACAAACCTGTTGAAAAGAGAGTATATTAATATAGGGTTTGTACTCTTCAAAGAATGCAGAATTATATGATTTTTCCATGACCTATTACATAGGCCTGCAATGGTTTTATTATCTTGAAATTTTTACATGTTCTACAGTAATTCATGTATGCTGAATCCGAAAATGATATCCATTTTTCTCCATCATGTACAGATTTTTCACAAAATGTCATATGTACTTTTACATAAGTGAATAATTTTCATTGAAATCAGGTCATACTTTGTTATGCTTAAAATGTTGACAACCACTGGCTATAAATTTCTCTAGACTAACCATCATTCCAGAACCCATGAGAAACACACTGCTAGTATATAAACAATTAATAGGCCTCATGATGTGTCATTTCTGGATAGTATTTGTTTGTGCATGCATTTTTTTCTCTTCAATATTATTTGTTGCTATGGCAACAAGAGGTTGTGTAAATTACCCAAACATATTCTGTTATATTTGTTGTAAATTTGAACTAATTAAAAGTTTTTTTTTCCTTCCCAATTTGTAAAAAATAAACTAAATAAACTAAAGAAAGATTTGTCCGTGAATATATATCGAGTATTTGTTTTTATTAGTTCGAGTGTAAAGTAATTTTCATGTTAAGATTAAAGATACTTTTCTTCATCTCAAAAATTTCCAATTTCATTTCTCTAAAACCTCATAAATACATTTCAAATGTTTATTTTCAGTAAAACTTTAAATTTTATCTGTTATTTTCTCTACTCCAATTCTGTACAAGGTTGGTTAATTTGACCAAAAAAAAATATAAAAATGGATGTAATATCAGAGCTAAGTAAGGGCCTCTTTACATCCGTAATGTCCAATCAAAATTACCTTGGGTGTGTTTAAGGAACTTCAGATGTGTATAAAAATGGATGTAATATCAGGGGACCTCTTTACATTCATTATGTACAATAATAAGTGGGGTGCATTTAAGGAACTTCAGTTGTGTATATAACCTTGATGGTGTTTGTGCCAGACAGGAATGCCAGTTAACATGTTCACAACATCGTGCACCACCGGTGGTACAAATGCATGTTTTCTGTTGGATGTCATGAGCCACCCGTGGTACACAGCATCCATAAGATATAACTGTACCTCATATCTCCAAAGTCTTATATGAAGCATTTATTTTATATGAACGGCTATAATAAAGCCACGCCTTCCATCATGTACCAATGGTGGAGCACGAATGCCATGATGTAAGTACAACTGAAATAAAACAAATTTACATGATTAAAATCACTTTTTATTTTAAAATTACATCTAGAGATTGACATTAAATTTTTTTTTATTGTGAGTAATTGGAACAAAAAACATTAATTGAGACTTCTTTCATAAAAAAGAAAACTGTTGTGAAGACTGTAATATAATAAGGATAAAAATATTATCATCCATAGTAGGGATTATTTTATCTGATGTTCCTTTTTTACGCCCATAAACTTGTGAAATATTCATAATTCTTCTAAAAAAACCGGCAAGATTAGGCTGAAAAAAATTAATCATTATGATCATTTGATTATTATTACTTAAATCATATTGCGCACCACCGGTGGCACATGACAACCAAAGCTTAAATGGGTAATGACAGGACGTCATGTACCACCGGTGGTGCACTCAAGAAGAAGTACCCAGTGCAGTTATTCTGTCATAAAACATAACAAAAAGCCATAAAATTAGCTGTATCTAAGGCGGAGTTCAAAATAAGGCCTTACGTTTGTATTGCATAACTAGAAAAATCACTTACGCCGCGAACGTGTTAAAAAAAGCATGGGATTGACAAGTATAATAACGCGCCCACAGCTGAAAGTGTGGAGTGTGTTTAGCAGTATCAAGTCTCGAATTCCGGACTTGTCGATCCGTAGCCCAAAATTTAATAAATGTACATAATTTACCGTTTTTTTTTCTGATTTATTTTTTCTTTTTTTGTTTATACGAGCAAAGGTTTTTACATATCAATATGGCCCGGCATGGCCAGGTGGTTAGGGTGCTCGACTCGCAATCTAAGAATCGCGGGTTCGAATCCCCGTCACACTAAACATGCTCGCCCTTTCAGCCGTGGGGGCGTTA